AAGGGGGTTGGGGGTGGTTGAAGGGGGTGAGACACCCACCCCAGGTTGGCGTTGATGTGGTGGGGAGGGGTTCAAAATGGGCTTGGACTCCTTCAAATGTTAATGAGAAGCCCGAATTTAGCATGAGCCCTGCCCAAAAGTCAATGGTACCCCCAAATTCACCCATGAACCCCATGGTTGGTCCCTCAAATTCATCCTAAAACCCTTCCAAAGTCAATGAGAGCCCAAAATTTGTCATGAACCCAATGGGGGACCCCTCAAAATGGCCTTGAACCCCTTCCAATGTCAATGAGACCCCAAAATTCACCCATAAAACCTTCAAAATTCACCCATAAACCCCATGGTTGGTCCCTCAAGTTCATCCCAAAACCCTTCCAAAGTCAATAAGAGCCCAAAATTCATCATGAACACTGCCCAAAAATCAGTGGTACCCCCAAATTAACCCATAAACCCAATGATTGGTCCCTCAAAATGGTCCTGAACCCCTTCCAAAGTCAATGAGACCCCCAAATTCACCCATGAACCCCATGGTTGGTCCCTCAAATTCATCTTAAGTCCCTTCTGAAGTCAACGAGACCCCCAAATTCATCATGAACCCAATGGGGGACCCGTCAAAATGGCCTTGAACCCCTTCCAAAGTCAATGAGAGCCCCAAAATTCATCATGAACCCTGCCCAAAAGTCAATGGTACCCCCAAATTCGTCCATGAACCCAATGATTGGTCCCTCAAATTCATCTTGAAACCCTTACAAAGCCAATGAGACCCCAAAATTTGTCATGGACCCAATGAGAGACCCCTCAAAATGACATTGAACCCCTTCCAAAGTCAATGAGACCCCAAAATTCATCATGAACCCTGCCCAAAAATCAATGGGACCCCCAAATTCACCCATGAACCCCATGGTTGGTCCCTCAAATTCATCCTAAAACCCTTCCAAAGTCAATGAGAGCCCAAAATTTGTCATGAACCCAATGGGGGACCCCTCAAAATGGCCTTGAACCCCTTCCAATGTCAATGAGACCCCAAAATTCACCCATAAAACCTATGGTTGGTCCCTTAAATTCATCTTAAGCCCCTTCCAAAGTCAATGAGACCCCAAAATTCATCCTGAACCCTGCCCAAAAGTCAATGGTACCCCAAAATTCACCCATGAACCCCATGGTTGGTCCCTCAAAGTCATCTTGAACCCCTTCCAAAGTCAATGAGACCCCAAAATTCATCATGGACCCAATGGGGGACCCCTCAAAATGGCCTTGAACCCCTTCCAAAGTCAATGAGAGCCCGAAATTCATCATGAACCCTGTCCAAAAATCAATGGTACCCCAAATTAACCCATGAACCCAATGGTTGGTCCCTCAAATTCATCTTGAACCCCTTCCAATGTCAATGAGACCCCAAAATTCACCCATGAACCCCATGGTTGGTCCCTCAAAGTCATCTGAAGCCCCTTCTGAATTCAATGAGACCCCCAAATTCATCATGGACCCAATGGGGCACCCCTCAAAATGGCCTTGAACCCCTTCCAATGTCAATGAGACCCCAAAATTCACCCATGAACCCCATGGTTGGTCCCTCAAAGTCATCTGAAGCCCCTTCTGAATTCAATGAGACCCCCAAATTCATCATGGACCCAATGGGGCACCCCTCAAAATGGCCTTGAACCCCTTCCAAAGTCAATGAACCCTCAGAATTGAGCCATGAACCCAACGGTTGGTCCTTTAAATTCATCCTAAAACTCATCCAAAGTCAATGAGACCCCCAAATTTAGCACGAGCCCTGCCCCAAAATCAATGGGACCCCAAAATTCACCCACAAACCCCATGGTGGATCCCTCAAACTGCTCTTGAACCCCTCCCAAAGTCCTCGACACCCCAAAATTCACCCACGAACCCAACCACTGACCCCCCAAACCCACCCTGAGCCCTTTCCGCCGCCCCACATCTCCTCCATCCCCCAACCCGTTAACGACTCCCTGGTTCCCAACCGAATCTGGGGGGCCGCCCCCAGGACCGGAAGCTGACGAAGGTGGAGCAGCAGCGCTTCAAGGAGGAGGCGGAGATGCTGAAGGGGCTGCAGCACCCCAACATCGTCCGCTTCTACGACTCCTGGGAGTCCACCCTGAAGGGCAAGAAGGGCATCGTGCTCGTCACCGAGCTGATGACGTCCGGCACCCTCAAGACGTGAGCCGCCACCTTGGGCCGCCCCCCCGGGGAGGAGGGGGAGGCGCCGGCCAATGGGATTCTCCCTTCTTGTAGGTACCTGAAGAGGTTCAAGGTGATGAAACCCAAGGTTCTGAGGAGCTGGTGCAGGCAAATCTTGAAGGGGCTCCACTTCCTGCACACGCGGACGCCTCCCATCATCCACCGGGACCTGAAGTGCGACAACATCTTCATCACCGGCCCCACCGGCTCCGTGAAGATCGGAGACCTGGGACTGGCCACCCTGATGAGGACGTCCTTCGCCAAGAGCGTCATCGGTACGGGCGGCCGGTGGCCAATGGTGGCCGTTGGTCGGGGGTTGGGTGGGTCAAGGGGTGGCCAATGGTTGGGTCCGTCAATGGTTGGGGGGATCAAGGGTTGGGTCCAGCAGTGGTTGAGGGGATCAAGGGGTGGTTGGCCAATGGTTGGGTCCACGAAGGGTTCATTGGTCAATGGTTGGGTCCATCAAGAGTTGGCCAATGGTTGGGTCCATCAGGGGTTGGATGGGTCAAGGGGTGGCCAATGGTTGGGGGCATCAATGGTTGGGTTCATCAAGTGTTCATTGGCCAATGGTTCCAAGGGTTGGGTCCATCGGGGATTGTGAGAATCAAAGTTGGGGTCCATCAATGGTTGGGTGGCCAACGGTTGGGTCCGTCAAGTGTTCATTGGCCAATGGTGCGGTCCATCAGGGATTGGGAGAATCAAAGTTTGGGTCCATCAATGGTTGGGTGGATCAAAGGTTGGGTCCATCAAGCGTTGAGTGGCCAATGGTTGGGTCCGTCAAGTGTTCATTGGCCAATGGTTCGGTCCATCAGGGATTGGGAGAATCAAGGTTTGGGTCCATCAAGAGTTGGGTCCATCAAGAGTTGGGTCCATCAAGAGTTGGGTCCATCAAGAGTTGGGTCCATCAAGAGTTGGGTCCATCAAGAGTTGGGTCCATCAAGAGTTGGGTCCATCAAGAGTTGGGTCCATCAAGAGTTGGGTCCATCAAGAGTTGGGTCCATCAAGAGTTGGGTCCAGTTGGTCAAGGGTTGGATGGGTCAGGGGTTGGGTGATCAATGGTTGGGGAAATCAAGGATTGGGTGGATCAATGGTTGGGGGGATCAAGGACAAGGGTTGGGTCCATCCATGGTTGGGTCCATTAAGGGTTCACTGGTCAACGGTTGGATAGGATCAAGGGTAGGGTGGGCCAATGATTGAGGGGATCAAGGGTTGGGTGGCCAATGGTTGGATCCACCAAGGGCTGGGTCCACCAAGGGCTGGGTTGGGCAGTGGTTGGGTCCATCAACGGTTGGGTGGATCAAGGGTTCATTGGTCAAGGGGTGGATGGGTCAGGGGTTGGGTGACCAATGCTTGGGGAAATCAAGGGTTGGGTGGATCAATGGTTGGGGGGATCAAGGATTGGGGGGATTGAGGGTTGGCCAATGGTTGGGTCCGTCAATGGTTGGGTGGCCAATGGTTGGGGGGATCAAGGGGTGGG